TGCTCCAGGTCATTCGGAGTCACTAGCTTGGGTCGGTCCTCGAAAGGCAAGCGAGGAGGCTTGAAGAAGCCCATGTTGCCAAAAGTCCGGGTGAACCTGGGCCCCTTGTCTCCCTGTTAGAGCGAATTATTATAACAACCACACCTGCTTAGAGCAGAACAGGCACAAAGCTGTGATTCTCACCGTCTCCTCGTCAGGCTCACATTTGGCTCTTTGCACCATTCCCAGCAGACCCCAGTCTGTCACTTCTTTACACCAGCCGAGCCGCAGCACCACCAGCTTCTGCAGGTAGGTGGCGACGGCGCACACGGACAGGTCAGTCACATTACTGCAGGAAGTCAGGTCAAGCTCGCAGAGAGTGTCCCCGAGCAGCTGGGCGAGAAAGAAAACTGCAGGATCCTAAAAGAAAGGCAGGAAGCTAAGATTTTTCCGTCTGGTTTAAACCGAACGAAGCGGACAATGACCGACCCTGATGTAGGTGCAGCTCCTGAGGTTGAGCGTCTCTAGCTGTCGTCTGGCAGCATCGGATCCCTTCAAGCCTTTCGCCATCTCTGTTCCATTGATGTGCAGACACTCGGACAGGTCCAGAGAGCGCAGGGAGGGCAACAACAGCAGGTCCGACAGGCCTGTTGGTAACACGATGTTAATCACATGGAGGCAGTGTGATGAGCTGCGAGCGTGAAACTAATAACCGAGCATAATAAACTTGCAGTTCTATTCAAATAGAAAAATGCTGATTATTTCGTTTGTTTTCCCCTTAAAGCTGCTTTTAGGTTGTTCCATCATCGTGATTACGGTCACTCCAAAGATAATATCAAATATAAAAATGATCACACTGGGTGACAATTTCAGTTAAATACACAAGAACGTGCACGGGGGGAACCTTTTTCTGTGATCCTCCAGTCCTGCGACAATGAGAGGTGCGTCAGTGATCTCAGACCTCGCGCTATGGCCTCCACAGACCTGCTGGTCAGCTCCGTGCAGCCGCTGATGTCCAGTTTGAGGAGGCTTGGCTGGTGCTTCACCAGAACTTCCACCGAGTAGTTGGTCAGCTCCTTACAGCCGTGCAGGATCAGCTCCTCTAAAAACAAACCCTGAACCTGCAACACAGAATTACAGCTCTCAGTGGAAGTATTCTTAGTGATGCTGAAACTTGTGCTGTGCCAACATCCCGACCTGTGCAACAGTGCGCAGCGACTCAGGGGTGATGGATGTCCTGCTGAGGTCCAGAGCTACGAGGGTGGATTTCTGCTCCATCAACAACCTCCTCAAGTTCCTAAGCGACAGCAGAGCTGAAGAGTCCTCGACGGCCCCCACCGGGCACCCTCGATACGGGTCAAACTCAAAAGCAATATGGCAGCCAGCCAGCGAGAGCCGACGGAGACGCGGCGTGCATCCGGTCAGCCGGTTGAAGGTGAGGTCAGACAGGTAACGGAGGTCAGACAGGTCCAGCTCTTCCAGACCACACAGTGCTGACCGCACCTGGAAGCAGATTATGATTGCTCACATTTTTATGACACCATAAAAAAAATAAATATTTTTTTAAATTTCTCGTTTGAATTGTTCAGATTGTTTATTGCCCGTCTCCACCCACCTGCTGTCTGTGCTCCTCCCTGGAGAGGAATGCTCCAGACATGAAGAGGCTGTCCAGACCTCTGAGGTCCAACCTGCGGAGGGAGGAAAGCCGAGGGAGCAGGGCCAGCAGGGAAACCTCTGTTATGCTGCTTCCAGGCAGGGCCAGGCTCTCCAGTTTAGGGCCCAGGCAAAGGCCCACCTGAGGAGGAAGCAACACAAAACAGGAAGGTTAGCAAAGGTACAGCTGCTGTTTCAGTCAGTGGGAAACAGAGTGGGCTCACTGCTGCCCTGTTGGCCACGTCAGTCCTGGCAAAAAGCATTTTAATCTAAATGAGACTTATGTGAATTAACAAGAACAATTATAACATCTGCATGCCATAAAAAAAAATTTATTATCACCTAAAGCTTAAAATCCACACGCTGGCCTGACACCAACACAGGTGGACTAAACTTGGTCCTTATCTTCGCGTGATAATCCAGCGCGTGTTTAGTGGGAAACTCTGTGCTTACACGTTCACACACACAGACGCACATGATTGTGATAAGCATGAATTATTAAGTAATGACCACAGCTGCTCTGAACTTTGGCGTTCATTTATGGCCTGTCACGTGTTTATCCTTGTGACAGGAAATTAAAATAATAAGGCTGTGATATATATTTATATAAAAATGTTAAAACAACGCTAGTGTTTTTCTAAGATGACTAGAGTCCAGACAAATCCACTGTAAAAAAAGTTTCCATTGCCCGGAGGTGTGTGAATTATGTGAGCCTACCAGGAAGCGTATGACTGCTTGTTTGTGGGTTTGTCATCACATGACGTCAGGAATATAGTTTCACAGAAGGAGCAATGGATGCTGAGACATTTTTAGGTACTAAACACAACAACAAAAAGCCACCTGTACCCCTAATATGTGTCAGACAGGAGCTGTTTAATTCGTCAGAGTACTGCACCTCCAGCAGCAGCGATCTGGAGATGCTGAAGCCATCGAGCTGGCTGATTATCAGGCTGCAGCGTGGCTTTCGGCCCAGACCCCTGATGAGCTCCAGGGACGAGGCCGAAGCCGGGAAGCGGAAGGTGATGTTCCTCTGCAATTTGAAAAAAAAAACACAGTTAAAATGTGCAGCCACCTTTCAATTCATCGTCTCTGTTGTGGTCTGGGGAGAGTGACCTGGAAGCGGGGGTCCTGGCTGGCACTGTACCAGCTACGGCAGACCAGCGAGGCTTCCTTCCTGTCTGACGCGTGGAGGAAACTCAGGATGTAAACTACGACCTGCAGATTGAGACAGAAATGCTGGATTAGATTAAACATCCGCGAAGAGCTCGATCCGAACCAGGCTCACCTGAGAGCATTTTATCAGCTCCAGCGAGAGCGCACTCGACAGGTACAGCAGGTCATGCGCAGTAGCTGACTGCCATTAGAACACTGTTACTGTAGCTCACGAGCACTGGGCTTGTATTGCACTCACCTCCACGGGCAGCGCAGGAGTGTCCACTGCGTCCTCCCCATCGCTGTCTCCCATCGTCCAGACCATCTGTGACTCAGCTAGCCAAACAGTAGCTATCGTAACTAAGTTTAGCCTTTAAGCTAATGCGTCCACAGCACAGAGAAACGGTGTCGCCCGTGAACTAATAATTACAGCTCTCCTTTCATTACAAGCTGCGTTACCTGCTGTCGCTCCCCTGAAAGCCCCTTTACGTTAGGCTCCGTGCACGCTCAGTCCCTTCAGGTGCGATCAGCTGACCGCGGAGGAGGCGCTGGTGACGTCAGGGGGCGGGGCGCTGTGTTTTTTCCAGCACGCTCGGTACCGACGAGCTTTGATCTGATTTGTTTTTGACGCTTTGACCTAAATGTGTGGAAAGTGTTCCGTTTACCCCACACAGACGATGGTGCGGCCCAGAAGAAGCGGTTAGCTGTTAGAGCCGAATCAGAAAGGCTTTTGTTGCCAAATGGTGAGCAGGTCTACAACAGTATTGCTTCGGTACTCTTAAATAAACAAAAATAAAACTTAAAAGTGCAAAGCGGATCGATATATCCATGAATGCAGGTGATGATCTGTGCAAAAATGGAAGAGATATGACTGTGGGTCAATAACACGCCGTAAAAATACTAAACATCCGCAGTGAAAGTTAACGTTCGGAAAATCTTGCAAAAACATTTAAAATGACTTCATGCAGAAAAATGTCCCCTGTATGAGAGAAGACCGCAACTTAACTGTGGGGACTGGCTGTTAAGAATTAATTAACCCACATATTGACCTGCAGAAAAGAAAAGAAAATGAAAACAAAGATATTAACAAATACTACAAATCTCCAGTTTAATATCAGTAAAGTTAAAATATGTTGGAACAAACACCAGCAAGTAAAAATGTCACATTTGTTCTTGATTTGAACCAAGAACCAGATCCTGCTCTGTGGTTAGTGTTTCAACCACCAGAACTAACTGGTTTCACGTCCTGTTGTTTCCTGTTCAGTTTCGGTCTTTTTTTCTTTTTACCTTTATGACAAGTCAAAGACAAGAACAGATGCTAAAATATGACGAAAACTCATTTATTTCAATAAAATTTACTCGAAAAAACAGGCCTTTGTCGATGATTCCTTTCTATGGTCTGGCAGTACGGATCGCTGGCTTGTGGCTACAGTTAGCACATCTATACAAAAGTACTGCTGTGCGATTATATTAAGCTTTTACAGCACAAGTGAAGCATTTTGCATTTCTACAGTTATTGCAGTCTTGTGACAACACAACCAGCACAGTGACTTAAAATTAAACTGTGAGAGCTAAATAAATACAAAAACAGATATATTTACATTATTGTACAAAACAAAAGAAAACATAAAAAGATCGACCGTAGTGAGGTTAATTCCATCAGTAGGCTAGTTCTTAGTACATAGTAATAAACTGTTTGCTTTACAATTACACATGTATCAAGTATCAATGTGTAAAATACGCTGAAGTTAGGAGATGTTGCTACAACCTTACCCAGTATCTTTGTTCAAAACAAAACTTACACCAACACAACACAGAGTCAGACATGTAAGGCATCTTTCAAGTTTACAAAAAGAATCCGTAAACATTCAGCAAACAACAACAGCAAAAACATTTTCTCCTTTATCTGTTTCACAGAAAGACAACAAGTTCAATCCTGCAGAATTTACTCATCGTAGCTACAATGAATTTACTGACAAACTCAGTGCAGACGATGAAGATGGGCCAGAAATCGTGGGACTGACAGTTTCCTGTTACATTAGATGAGCTATAAAACTTAACTAGTACAATGTGTTAAATGCATTAGGCTATAATTATAGATATAATTATTTAACGATCATTCAAACTATTATTGAGACCCTCCCTGAGTTTCTTCCTGTTAAAGGGGAGTTTTTCCTTCCCACTGTCACCAAGTTCTTGCTCATAGGGGAGGGGGGGTGGGGGGGGGGGAATCTGATTACTGAGGTTTTCTCTCTAATATCATCGAGTCTTTCCCCTAAAGCGCCTTGAGGCAGCAGCTATTGGGATTTGGCGCTATACAATTGAAAATACATTTAAATAAATAGAAAGTAATCACGACTTTTTTTCTTTCCTCTTCCTGTTTCCTTCATCATCACTGATTGGCTCCTTCGTGACTGTGTCGCTGTGGCACTCAGAGGGTGACTGAGGCATCGCAGAGTACCGACACCGGGAAGCAGAGCGAAATGTCGGAGAGCCGGCAGACATGGGTGATGGCGTGTCCACTTCCCTGTCAGGTTCCAAGCTGGAGGCGGGGGATGGAGGTGGGAGGGGGGAGGAGATGGACGGCTGGGAAGGGAAGAGGAGAGTAAATAAATCTTCTATTCAAAGTAGATGATTTGCTGGGTTAGCTCAGGGTTTGAGCATGTTTACCTGTAAGGAGATGCTGGACTTGTTCGTCTTCTCTTTGACTTTTGCCAAAGCGCCTTTAAGTCCCGACGATCTCTCCGTCATCTCAAGAGCTGCTTTCAACAGTTTGGGCGTCTCTGCCCTGACAGGAGCTGCTGGTACCAGAGGGGGTTCCTTAGCCTCTTCTTTAGGTTCAGGTTTCTTTCCTTTGTTAAGCATCTTCCTGTGTTTGAGACAAGGATAATCCAGCTAACAACAACTGTAAGCAGAAAAAAGGGGGAACTCGAGCTGCCCTGCATAGTCATACCTTCTTGGGAAAGCAAAATGTTTTAGCGGTTTTCCAATCTGGTTTTAAACCCTTTCATAACACTGAATCAGCCCTTTTAAAGGTTTTCAATGACATATTTTTAGCTACTGATGCTGGGACTGTGCTGCGTTTGATACAGTGGATCCTTTTACTCTCTCCTTTGGAGCACTGGGTGGGCATTAGGGGCACAGCACTGGAGTGGCGAACTTTCTGTGTCGTCCTCCGCTCCCCTCTTGTGTGGTGTCCCACAGGGCTCAGTTCTAGGCCCCCTCCTCTTTTCTTTATATCTGCTTCCTCTTGGTTCTGTACTGAGAAAGCAAAGCATTGCTTTTCACTTGTATGCTGATGACTGTCAGATCTATGTCCCTCTAAAGCAAAAAGGCAGATTCCACGCAGCCCAGTATGTTAAACCAGCTGTCACAAACCTGGGGGTCAAAGTGGACTGTGATCTGAAGTCTGACAGTCAGATTAAGGCAGTGGTAAAATCGAGCTTCTTTCAGCTGAGGCAGCTGGCTAACATAAAGCCAGTTCTTTCACAGCAGCACTTTGAGACAGCGATCCACGCCTCTGTTAGCGGTCGGCTGGATTACTGTAATAAAATTCTTTTAAACCTCTCCATGGCCTTGCCCCATCTTATCTCTCTGAGCTAAGATGTTGTTTTCTTGCTTGTTTTCTTTTAATATAGGGCTGTTTTAATTTTTATGTATATTGTGTGTTATATATATATTAATTTTTGCTGTTTTCTGTTATTCTTTTGTTTTTAACTGATTTTCTGTACAGCACTTTGGTCCTGTGCTGGGTGTTTTAAAGTGCTTTTGGATTGATAGCTACTTGAATGTGAGCCTGCAATGCGTCCTGTCATAGAACCCTCCAACGCATAGTGAGAGCTGCAGAGAGGATCATTGGTGTCTCTCTCCCCTCCCTCCAGGACATTTACAGCACCCGTCTCACTAAAAAAGCCCTTTGCATAGCGGCTGATCCCACGCACCCAATGCAAAGCTTCTTCAAGCTGCTGCCGTCAGGGAGGAGACTGCGGAGTCTCCAGGCCAGGACCAGCAGGCTGAAGGACAGCTTCATCCATCAGGCTGTCAGGAAGCTTAACTCCCTCCCGATTCTGCCCCCTCTCCCCTCCACAGTCTCACTGAACTCTGACACACACACACACACTCTCTGACTCACTCACTGGCCTGCACCAGTTACCAGTCACTTTGTGGAGCATTGGACTGCCATTACCTCATAAGACTTTGTTGTTACACTATCTCTTACCGTATATTACTAAATCTCCATTTGCACTACTATGCCTCCTTACTTGAATATTGTATATTGTATATTGCATAGCTTTTTTTTTGTTATACGTAAAATTGTATTGTATTTATTTAAATTTTTACTTTTTAATTATTTTATTTGCATTTTTTAATCACTAGGGTTTGAGAGTAACGTAGTTTCTATTCTCTGTATGTCCTGTACATGTGGCAGAATTGACAAATAAAGTTGACTTGACTTGAACTGATGATGGGTGGCCGACAGCACCGGAGCGTTTGATGAGCTGGCAGTGAGGGGAAATCATACAGTACAGATACAGGACAAATATTATTTCTATTCATATTCAACCTGGCTTTCTTGCGCAGCAGTTTCTTGGACTCTGGATAGTGGACCAGGATCTCATTCAGGTCTTTTTTGTCCAGGATGAATAGATTGGCAAAGCCATGAGCAATCACATTGGCTGTGCGCCTGTTACCACCGCCGACTGCAAGCAAGCTACCAAACAAAGAGCACTGTGGTTAAAAACAGCATTATTTAAAAGAAAGGTGCATTTACATTTAGGAAAGAGGAATTTCTCTATAAGTGTAACTGTTTGATTTGATGTATAAAATGGTTCTGGGACCTTGGAGTGTGACCATCACACAGTTTTTGGCTCTGTGCTTGTCTGCATGTGTGAAAACACTGTAACTCTGTTTGTAAACTTTTACTCTTAATTGTGCGCCACGTCTTTACCTGATTTCTCCAAAGACTGATCCTGCTCTAAGAGTGACAAATACAGTCTTCCCATCTGGGCCTCCAACCACCTGCACCTCTCCAGCCTTTATGATATACATCTCCCGACCCACCTCGCCCTTAGACAAGTGAAATACCCGAGCCAGGTGATTAGACAGCAAAAAACATCAAGCTGAAAATATTTGACATGATTCATACACCAGAACACGGAGAAATAAGCTCATGTACCTTTTTGCAGACATAATCCCCCGGGAGATAGACGACAGAGCGCAGGCTTTTTAGCATGTCGAAAATCATCTGTCTGTCACAACCCTGTCAGGAGGGAGAGCCAAAATAAAACAACCTCGGCATCACTTCTCCAGATGCATAAAAGTATTTTAAAAAGTGAGATTAAGTGAAGCCTACCAGTATGTTCTACATTTTGTATTTCTAATTCCTACCTGAAAAAGAGGGACTTTGCTCACAATGGAGTAGCTGACATCTATCGCTATGTCCAGACGCATTTTATCTGGCAGCTGATTCAGCAGCTCCTGCTCGTCTGGACGGTAAAGGAAGAAGCAAAGGGTCAGGTGTGACTGAAACATTGCATGCGTAAGATGAATGCAAATATATCACGTCCTCCTCACCCAGCATGCCTTGTGATTGCCAGGTATAGTTATACCAGGTTTTGACCCGGTTCTGGACGTCTCTCGGGATGCGGTAGGAGGACATGTATTTAATAGTGCTGTCCATGCAGCTGCGGTAGTAGGTTTGACTTGCTGTAGCTGCACCGACAACATCGCGCATCTGACAGACAAATGAGCAAAATGAGGATTATTAGTGTCCCGAAACAATCACAAGCTTTTAATGTTACACACATTTGCCCCCTTTCTGATTTCTTTTTCGATATTTTAAATGTTTCAGATCATGAGAGCAGCCCAGACCATCACGCTACCACCAGCACTGTGGACCGTTTGTATGATGCTCTGTGTTAGTCTTACACCCGTCCACACAATATTTCCCCAAAGTCTTGACAATCATCCAGACTTTTTTTCACTCCTTTGGAAGCTTCACCCGTTACGTCCTGGTCTAGGAGTACAGGAGCGCAACATAAGGGTTAAAAGGAGAGTGACCCCGGCCCGGTCCCCAAAGTATGGAAGCCCATTGCCGCCACTTAAAAAAAAAAAAAAAAAGGATCCATAACTCAAAATTTTGAGTTACTTTCTCGAAATTTCGAGTTATGGATACTAGCTTTTTTGTTTTTATTTAGTGGCGGAAACGGGCTTCCATACCAAAGCCATATCCAGAAGCCAATTTACAGGTTAAGGTGGTTTTATTGTTACCAAAAACCGAAAGCTTTAACTCCGGGGTGAACAAAGGCCAAAATAACAAACAGAACAAGCTATTCCAAAAACGGAGGTGCTAGCAAACACAAGACAAGCGCTACTGCTAACTCCCTAACTGAATAAACAAGAGAAGGAAGGCAGTCCACGCCTTCTGCTTCAGAGCCTCTTTATAAGTGAAAGCATCTACACACTGTATACAAAACTTAGCAATTCTCTGAAGTCACACAGGAAGCTTATCGCAGATAAAGGTTTGGAGGCGGAGGACGGCTCTGCTGCTGTCAGGGGGAACAACTCAGTGTTGCCAACTCCTCAGTAAGGAAAATCGCTATTGGCTGTCCTAAAAGTCGCTAAATGACGTCATCGCCTAATTTGCATAATTGGTCATGCTAATCTAATTGTAACCTATGTTGTTGGAGAGAGAAATAACATCGTGGAAGAGACATAAAGTGAGTAAAAAACGTCCTAAATGCATTTAGAGTTTATTTAGAACTACAAATTAAATTTCTTTTAGCAATTATTGTTTTTTTAATGTCACAATTCCAACCCTGCTCCTTTACCCGGGCTTGGACCGGCAAAAGTGACCCGAAATAGGCACTCTGGTGGAGTTACTTTGTGTGTGTGTTTATAAGTAGTTTTAAACCTTGTGATCCACAAAACAGCATAAGAGTAAAAGAAGAACTGACTGCGTTACAGCACCCGCTGCTTGTTGAGAGTAAAAGCGATACGCGCTTTCACGTCTGAAAACTCGCTAAATATAGCAACAAAGTTGCTAAGTTGGCAACACTGGAACAACTGCTGGAGAGAGTTTTTAAAACAGCCACTTGATGATGGAACCAATCAGCAGCTGCCAGCTCTCCAATCAGGAAGGACCTGCAGAGACTCTTAAAGGCACAGGACACACAGAACAAAATCCAGCCAGCGTGATCCAAAATATGGCCAGGGCCATAACACCATAGTTCCAGGCTCTTTAACGCTGGAGTCCCAAAGCCTTAGAAATGCACTCTAACTCTTTCCAGACTGACAGGTGCCGATGACTTTCTTCATGTTTGTTTACATCGTGTAGTGATGAGCTGCTTTCTGTTAGCGGACTTCACTTTGTCAGACACGTTCCAGTGTCGGCCTGGGTGCGGTTAGTGAAACTGAACTCAACGGTCAGTCGCAGTTAATTCATCATTTAACCAAGGGTCAAATACTTTTTCACACAGGTGTTTTTGTCATTTAAAAACTGTATTTTATACTTACTCAGGTTATCGTTGTGTAAAATTAAAATCTGTTTGATGACCTGAAACATTTAAGTGTGAGAAAAATATTTAAAAAAGAAATCAGGAAGGTGGGCAAAGACTTTTTCATGGCACTGTACATGAGGCGCACGTGTGCGCCTACCTGTCCAATCATGATTGAGAAAGCAAAGACTCCGATAAAGTAGTTGATGAGTTGGAAGATGATCTCAGACAGGGTGGTGGGATCTGGCAGACCCCCAATGGTAATCAGGGTCTTCACTGCGAAGTAGTAACAGCGAATGTAACTGAGAAGAGAAACACTCTGTTCTTATCTTCAAAGCAGTCATTTGGTTAAAAGACACGTGGCCGCTACTAAAAACAGCCCACCAACCTGTTACCCTCGCCATTGTACACCCACTGAGTCAGTCCCAGTCCTATGAAGTCAGAGATCCAGTAGTAGAGACAGGCATTAAAGTGCAGACAGTAAAGAAGATAGGTGGTGGTACGAATCACCCTAAGAGACGGAAAACACAGGAAAATACATGAAATGCATATCTAACAGCAGATTGGTTCTGTGACTCGGTAGCTTTGCATGTCTCTTAAAACTTTATTTCAAAAAGGAAATGAGGACAATGCAGTCACAATTTTTCCTGCCACTCGAGTGCTAACATATCAGGACACGACCAATGCAGTGTGACGCTGACCTGTAGATATAGGCTTTGGTCAAGATGGCCTCCAGACGATCGTTGAACTCAAAGAAGGACTTGATCTGCAGATATGGAAGGAAAATATTTGTAGAGATTAGTATTTGAAACTGTGACGAAACTGTAAATGACCGATTCCTAAAACTAAAGGTGATGTGGAGCCCAGGAAATGAGCGAGCAGTGAGATTGTTGGAGGAAACGTTCGGTGTGTGGTGTCAGGGTTTCACCTTCAGCAGCCGTGGTAAGCGGAGCAGAGGGTTGATGCCAGTTTTAAAATAGAAGAGCTCAAGGGGAACAAGGCTGGCCACATCAAACTGAAAGTGAGACGACAGGATCTCACTTTAATGACTGATTTTACCCTTTAAATGCAAAGAAAACACAACTTTTGACATGTACCTCACTTTCTTAATGTTTTACCTTAAAACGTTTGGTTTTCATGTAATTCTTTCTCATCTCCTTTTGGTCACACTGTAACAAAAGCAAAATGTGCACAATTATACTCTTAAACTACAACAAGTGTCCACATTACTGCTTTGACCCACTCACCACTATGTCCCCTCCACGCACAAACTGCAGGCGCGGCTGAAAAACAGCGATGTCCAGGATGTAAATGAGGTCACACAGGTAGTCGGTTAACAGCCAGTAGTGAATGTTGTCCGGGGTTTGGTAGGGGAAGGCCCAGCGCACCGGGATGAACCACACGTTCCAGTTCCAGGCCAGAGACACCAAAAACATCCAGAGCACGTACATCAGGTCTGACAAGAGGAAGAAATCAGGGAATTAAGTGAGTGGACAGTTCACAGAGGTGCAGAGTGTAGACCAGGAGAGACTGGATCGGTAACTAAGAAAGCATCAGCTACCACCATGCAAGATCCAAGTGCTATTAAAGAAAACATGCAAAAGAATAAGAAAAGATAAAGTCTCACAAAGAAAAGTAAATGATTGGAACACGGGTTTCTGTAAAAACAGAATAATGCAGTCGTTTGACCTTTTCCCAAACCTCACATGATGTCATGTTTCTCGTGTTCTTTTCCTTTAAAGATAAGAATCAAAGCACTTGATAAATACGTGTGGGGTTGTTTCTCAGAAATATCTGGTCCGATTTGTGTGGCTTAGCCTGTGGGTGTGTGTGAGGTATGATTCCAGTAACTGTCCAGCACAACACTGAAGGCGGTAGAGGGTGACGCATTCGCTGGGTTCTCACTGGTGAAAGGGTCGATGCTGGCGGGGAAGCGGAATCGCACACAGGCTCGTATCCACCGAGGTGTTTTCACCTTGCAGCAACGGCCAGGCTGCTCCTCCTCCGTTCCGCTCTCTACTCCTCCTCCTCCTGACGGACCTGCTTGCGTCTCGTTCCCATCTGGCGGCTGAGCTCCAAGAGCAGGCTGAGGAGCTGGAGGCTGAGGAGGAGCTGGAGGAAGGAAGAGCCAAAAAGAAAGAAAACAGTGCCTTCAAGATAGGATTCAGCAAAGCTTTATTACCTTCTTAGCATTTGGTAGACATTTATATAAATACTGGAACAAATAAAGTGTTAAAGGTTTATCCATCTGTAAGCAGACCACAGGACTCTACAGCTGTTTACAGGGTGCCACAGATGACATGTTGGACTTTGTGTCTCTTTTAACTGACACAAAGTGTTAGTTCTTTGTCACACTGACCAGCTTCTCACTGGGTGCTACAATAACAGATGCTAAATGTAACTAGAAGCTGTCGTGACAACAAAAGAGAAAAACGCGATCAGCCTGTTGTCAGAGGTGTTTGTGGCACACGTGTGCACACAGACCTTAGTGTGGTTTTATTAGGATCCCACTGGCTGCAACATTTTAGCAGCTTCCTGGGGTCACAAATCTTTATACACTGACATTTCTCTGTAAAACAAACCTCCTCGCTAAAAACAAAGCACTGATTTATCTGTTTGTCTTTAAGACTGTGACCTACAGGAAGCTACTTTGGGAAGGGCTTAACTACATAGTGGGATGAATGAGGGACACTGTGGGTAAAACTCTGTGGGTGGCTGAGGAGTGGGTGGCAGAAGCTGCTCACCTGTGTGTGACAGTCACTGGGCAGTTTTATGTAATTTTATCAGTCTTGTGTTTGAGTGGCAGCTGTCATGGATGTGCAAGGCTCGAGATCTTCGTACCTGGAAGTGAAGTGCACCGTAACATCCACACACACATGCTACTATCCACGTACACTGAAATGTACCAGCAAATCTTTTTGACTTCTTTTGTTTCTCGAACGTGTGTCAGTTCAGTTTGTGTGCGAGACTCACAGGTGATAATGCTGTCTTCATCCGAGCTGTCTGGGTCGATGAGTTTCTCCTTGGCCTTCTCCGTTCTCTCCTTAAACATCCTGACGAGCTCCTGAAGCCTCTCGTTGACCACCGTGCTGGTCTGACTGGCAGAAGATGCTGGACGTTCTTTCAGACTTGGACACGGAGACATCAATTTATTTAGATGATGCCGATTTTTCTTATTGTAAATGTCACTTATTTATCTTGGTGTGTGCACGCTCACACGTCGTCTGTGCTGTGCAGGCTGGACTGGCTGGGCCAGGCTCTGACGGGGATGTTTGCCTCTTCATCGTCATCCTCGCTTTCAGAATGAAGCCTCCTGCTGTCAAAGTCAGGCAGACGGGGCAACTTTGAGACTGTGCTGCCTTAGTCACATTATTCTCTTTATTTCACACAGTAAAGCCTAACATCACTGCAGATTATGGGAAAGCTACATGCAGCTATCCATGTTAATGACTGTGAAAATAGAAATGATGACTGAATAAATAAGTGAGCAAGGACTCAGATGGGAAAGTGCACGGATAAAATATTAGAAAGTGGATGAAAAAGCAGCAGGACACCAGTAAGGATCGGATATCTTACATCTTTGTCCAGACGCTCCTGCGATTCCTTCCACTACTGTCAAACAGAAGAACGGCGTTTCAAGCAGGGAAAAACACGGAGTTAATCCAGGACACAGATAAGGAAGTCTAAATCACTCACAGTAATGTGACCAGCAGGTGACACAGTGATGAAGCAGGCTTGTGATGCATTTGTTTATTGACTTTTGCTACGTTATGAAAACAACCAAAAGCACAAAGCCGTGCAAAAGTAGAAACAGTGCCATCACAGTTTACAACAGAACATCACAAGACACAGCAACACAAAACAGGAAGCGCTCTTTCCAAACCACTCATAAAACAAACTGCTTTCTGTGTTCTGCATAAACTGTACGTGCCGGTTTCCTCGTGTGCGTAATCTTTTTGGCAGCTTTCAGAGTTTTTACGTGCAGAAAGGATAGGATATGTTTCTGAGTGCACGCACATTGTTCTGCAGGACACTAAAATACAGACAAAAGCAGCAGCAGTGACTCTGGAAAGACTGCAGAGCAATAAGCTGGACAGTAGGGGGCAGTAGGGTGAATCACAGAAAGCATAACAGACTGTAGGAAGTGTGAAGCATTTCACTCCAAAATGGAAAATGTAACAATGAAAGACATATGTGACAATTCTGACAGCAAACGCCTTTTATGATGAAACAACTGCATTTCTGTTTTTGCTGCTACAAATATTTGGATGAAAATGCTTCACATGACAAAGAGAAGCTCGCACCCAGATCCTGTATCCCAGTGAGTCTACTTCTTATTTCTGTGTTATGAGATATAATGGCAGGATTGCATATATGCTACACAAATACATCTATAGTGTCATGGTGGAAGTGGTCACTGTTGGAAGAGCAGGAGACAATTCAAACAGGATCCTTACTCTTTATCTCCTTTACTGTAGATGCAAAGCATAAGGAGAGAGAAAAGGGTTAAAAATATTTAGTTGAGATGAACTGAGATCAAAACGTGAGTGCAAAATGTTAAATGTAACACACACTAGTCTGTTGATAACATACAACCAAAGCTGCATTTACAGACAGAGAAAACAACAATATTGATATTGTTCAGCATGAACGGTGCCCTCACAGACGTGCTATGGGCACTAATCTGCCCCCGTACCATCAGAGGTGCAGACTGTGCACTGATTACAAGCTGCACAGCTGCTCTCCTCTTTAGGAGGACGCGGCATCCACGATTTCCCAACACAGGAAAGACAGCAGGACAGCTTCTTATCTTCATCGTTTAGTGTATCTTACAAAAATAACATCTAACAACGTATCGTTAAATATTTAGTGTTTAATTAAATCTTACAGCGAGTTTTATAGAAGCAAGTCAGTTAAGAGCATAATCATTTTAGTTAGTGATCATATTAAAAATATGGATGTTTATGCAGTTTTACTGCTGATTCAGTCTTTGCTGTGAATTTGTAGAGCAGTGTTAATCGTGTAAACCATGTCAGTGGATGGTGGTGTTTATGAGGTCAGCGTTTCACATGCATCCATAATGGAAAATGTTGCCCCTTTATTTTGCCAGCTCGTCACTCGTTGTTGTGGCCGTGAAATGTTTCAGAGTTTTTTAGGTCAATTAAATTGTCCCTCAAGCTTTTCGGCTTTGCCGAAACAATTGTAATAGCTGTAAGGAAACACCTCCCTCCAGCTGCTCACTGCGTCAACGCGACGTGCAGTTACATCCGTAGGCTTTGCACCTATGGGATAGATTTAAAGTATAAATCCCCTGTTAGCTCACCTTTGACGACCTGAAGGGGTCACAGGAACAGTGAGGGTTGTAAGCTTTGGGTCCTGTGGGGTGAGGATTTGGGGGATTTGTTCTTCCCCTCCTCCTCCTCCTCCTCCTTTTGCTCCTCCTGCCCTCTCATGATCAGAGTCAACATCCTCTACATTAACAGCTGGGCGAAGGCTGATGTTGGAGCTCTCTGGAGAAACAGACATTTATTTTCATTTAGTCAAGGCCAACCGCATCACTGCAAACAGGCAAAACTGATGCTGCAACGTGAACGTCACGAACTACTGAAAGTACTGCAAAACACAAAACAAGTAAAGCAAAAGACAAAGCAGGTCACGAGTATAAGCAGGAGCAGGGCAGGCTGGGAGAAAGGTCGCGACCTACAGCGGGCTAATGAAGAGGATTCACGCGTGAACTAGGCCATGTATAGACGCCCTGATAGTGAAGGACTAGTTTACTAATCTTGCAAGCCAAACAATCTGGTTAATCTGGCTCATGATTCACTGGCACACTTCTGTCAACAGTCATTTGACAGACTTCATCAAAGTGATGAAGAAAATAGATGGCATCAGTATATTTCAGTCCTTTGGAACACCTTAGCTCCGTGCGGCTCTTTACCTTACCCGTCTACGATCTGAGCAAACTCGGGGTCAGAGGTGAGCTTATTCGAGGAACAACAAAGCAACACAAAAAGACAAAAATCTACTTCAACAACACAAAGAGCTACTTTTTTACCCTGCACAGACTCTCGAGCTAAACATCTGAACTCAAGCATCCTTTACTGATGGTTCGTATTTGATTTAGTGTCAGATACCTGCCAGGTTGATTTTAGAGTCTGTCACATATGACGAGACGGCCGTTTACTCGCATGCAGTATGACTGAGTTCAGGATGTACAGGGAGTGAGAGGACAGTGAACGCTACACTGATGTGGATTCACCTGCAGGTCTTATTGCTGAGATGTCTGAGTCATCTTCGATGAAGAATGCTGGGTTAGATAGACCAGACAGCTGATGTGATAGGGGTCTGGGTTGCTTGGAAGGGGAGCTGACAATGGGCGGCAGGCGTGGATAGGATGGCACGTTGGGCAACTCGAGGATGCTGCCGTTAGGGGAGGAGGGAGAAGGGGATCGGGATCGCAGCTGTGGATGATGAGGAGGAGGGAGAGGGGAGTGTCGCACGAGCCGGCTCAGTTCTACATCGTGCTGACTGTTGTCTTGTTTCTGTTTTTGCTGTTGTTGTTGTTTCTTAGGCATCTTGAGGCATAAGGCTGTTGAGGTGGTTCCGAATGTTCGTGAAATACTGCTGCGCCAAGCTCGGAAACCGGGAGAGCTTCTGCGGGACGTTCGAGAGGCTTTGGGAAATACCGGACAGACTAGGGCCCACTGAGACTTCCGAGCTTTGGGGCAAAAGCTCGGTGAAAGTCTGGGCAATATTTCGGGGAACTTGTGTGAGTCTGATCTGGGAGAGCTCTTGGCGTATCTCTGGGGGTAGGGTGGGTAAGTGCTTGGTAAAGTCAGAGAGCCGGGTGGGTAGTTTAGGCACTGAAGGTATTTGGGGAGGAGTGATGCCGTTCTCTTTGAAGAATGCGTTGATGTTGTCGAGGCACTCGGAGGTGAAGGGAATGCGCATCAGGCAGCTCTTAAATGCATCACAGCTGACTGGAGCTACAGAGAGAGGGCGACAGGCAGATACAGTAGGAGAAGGGCACTGCTGGCAATCAGACAGCAATGAAGCCAGTCAAGAATGACAATATCAGACTTCTGGTCTCCAGATGAACTCTGCAGTCACACTCAAGCAGTGAATGAATCGACTATTTAAAGTCCAAAGAGATGAACTGGCGTTACAGTCAGATAAGCAATCTGAGACTTTCCTGAAAGACAATAAGAAGACGGTACATACCACCGCAGTCATCCCCAGTAGCTTCCTCCTCCTACAAAAACACACGCACAACAGTTGGGAACTAGTAATCAGTTATCCGATGAACATTATTATTCGATTTCTTGATAGTAATTTAAAAAAAATCTTTTTAGCTGTACTGAGTCAGTCGGGCAGTTTAGCATGACAGAGTCAGAGTAACGCAGTGATACGGCCCGGGATGTCAAACGTTACTTTTTCAGGAGCCTTGTCAGCGTTAGCAGTTTGACCGACGTCTTCGTTTTTCTGCGGCTGCTCAGTGATGGGCTCAGCTTCTGGAGGAGCTTCTGGGCTCTTGGTTTCTGCTTCTAGTGCTTGTTCTGGCTTAGGCTCAGAAATCTCCACTGGCTCACTGCTCGGAGGCGGTGAGGTCGAGGCTTCCTCCTGCGGCTCTAAGATCCAATAAGCAGGGGTGTCACACTCAAATACACAGTGGGCCAAAATTCAAAACTGGAACAAAGTCGCGGGCTAACATTAATATGAAAAAAAAACTTCCTCCAGATATAAGAATGAGTCTTTTCTTATGGACTCAAACAGGTTTTGCTGAAAAATTGAATGTGGAACAAGCAAAGCTTAATACTAAACAATATATATATTAGCTGTATAATACCAGTAGGCCAGCTCTGATAGTAATTTGGTATGGCTTCGCGGGCCAAATATAATTATGCTGCGGGCCAAATTTGGCCCGTGGGCCAGAGTTTGACACCTATGATCATACACACAGCACAATGTCCTGCATTTGTAAACTGTTCAGAAGAGTGTTGACGTTACTTAAAGATGTCACGCTGAATGAGAGAAACTCCTCTTAATGATAAAAACATTTTTAACATATATTTGAATTGCATCTACCTGGCTCGTTGACGGTGGGCTCCTCAGTCTCAGCTTTCTGCTCCTCCTGAGGGAGGCTCTCGTTCTTCCTGCAGAACAGCACAAGAGAACGGGTTGTTGGGCGGCCCAGGAGCGACAGGGAACACATCTGTCCTCTTATGGTGACCCAAGTCACAGCCAGAGATGGGCAGTAACGCGTTACTGTAATCTGATTACTTTTTTCAAGTAACGAGTAAAGTAAGGGATTACTATTGCAAAAACGGTAATTAGATTACCGTTACTTTCCCGTAGGAACGCTGCGTTACTGCGTTACTAAAACCGTGATTTTTTGCGAGAATGTCTCATGACAGTGACGTAAGCGAGTGCGACGTTGCGTGACAACAGCTGTGTGCAGATCAACAATGGATCACTATATCGAGTGCAGAGAGAGTATGAGCGTGCAGCGTTTAAAGCGTGGAAGTACTGACCTTACTTTGAGTTTGATTCCATAAAAAGTGACAAAAACATAGTGTCCGCTGTGCGTGGGAAGAAAACTTCTTTTTACAGCGAAAAAACCCCTAAACTTCCAACAAGCACCGAGTAGCTACGACGTAATGGGAAACTCACAGAGAAACTCGCGGATTCTTCCACTGACCGCGGCACACCTGCACCAGGGTAAACCTCCGCCTCCCCACTCCTGCTTTACAGGTGAAAATAGAGCAAAAGGACCGCTGAGTCTTTGACTTTATTTATTTTCTGCTGTGTTTTACTTGCATCTATTTGAAAGACTGAGTGTAAACACAAAAAATATTTTATTTTATGTGCTGGAATGTGCAGAAAATAGGTTTAAATGTTAAACTAATTTCACAGTCAGAGAATGTTGCATATAATTAAATTTTTGCTTGATGCATAAAGTTAAAAGATTAAAACTAATAAAACAAGTTTAAAAAGAGACTTTTCCATTTGATTACATTTTGTATGATGGATTATGTAGAAAAAGTAGAATTGGGCTGAAAGATCTATCGCTTTATCACCTACTTCAGGTTGTAAATCGTGTTTTTAAAAAGTAACTAAGTAACTAAGTAATTAATTACTTTTGAAAATAAGTAATCAGTAAAGTAACGGGATTACTTTTTGGGGGAAGTAATCAGTAATTAGTTACTGATTACTTTTTTCAAGTAACTTGACCAACACTGGTCACAGCTGGTTGTGTTGGCAGATTCTTACAGTGCTGTTATTGTTAGCTGGACACATACTGCAAATGAGGATTTGGACCCTAATAGGCTGTAAACTGAGTGTGTGAACTGCTTATTGTGGAAGTCAATTTAATCGTAAAGTTTAGGAGAGGTTCTCCTTTGTTTTAACGTTATGAGATTACAGCAAAATCACATTTCATAGACTTCAATTATGACAGAGTTGGTTCCTGCTATTTATTTTTATATTTCAGCAGGTTCCAACGTGACACACATAAACCAGGTTACAGTCATTTAAGCCGTCACGCTTTTTACTGGATATCAGAAATATTTGTTGTGGATGAAGAAACTTCAGCTTCTGTTTTCTCTCTTTGAGCACAAATTTACCGACTTTGTGACCACCTGTAGCAGAAAAGCTCACTCTGTACACGAGTTACTGTTTACACATGAAAAACGTTAGTTATGATAAATAGAAACTCTGTAAGCTTTACCGTCACGTTTTTTTAAATAGGCTGTGTTTACCTTTATTAGTCCCGACAGAAAAATGTCCACCAGCATCGACACGCGTTAATTCGGCTGCTGAGACGCATAAACTGCATCAGGTGGTTTTAGGAATATGAGAAAAACAACGAGGAAAAGGTTCTGTTCCGATATGTCCGTCCATCTTTAATCCAGGGACGCGGAGCAGCTGCAGCAGGTGCGCGGGGTTACCGGGGCAACAGCTGAGAGGAGGAAACGAGGCGGGCGCGCGGAGGTAAGAGGGTCCGCTGTTGCCAAGGGAAGCTGTGGTTGCTACGACACAGTGATGTGATGCAAAGATCACATAACGAGAACCCGCGGGATTTGGACCTGCTGATAACAAAATGACCGTGCTAGTGTCGTAACAGAGAGTGATTATTTATTTCTTTATGTCCAATATCGATGCTTGTATTGATAAACAGACTTTAGTCAACAAGATTTACAAAGGAGTTGAGCTACATGTCACCGTGTCTGCGCTCTGTTCTGCGTTATAATAAACTGTTATGGTAGATTTGTTACTACTTCTATTGCCCATCTTGTACTGCTGCTCACTCCTGCCACTTACAC